GTTCGAGTCCCAGACCCAGTGGCTTAAACTCACACTGGGCATGTGTGTATGTGTACCCAAGATCCTGAGAGGAGAATGGAGGAGAAGGAATTGCAGCGTGGCCATACCCCAAGGGGGTGATTCATCAAGTTCTGTCACTCTGTCTTTCTCTGTCTTACTGGCAAGTGCATGCACCCTATAGCAAAAACCTCTCTCCCCACCCCCCAAAAAAAGAAAGAAACATCCTGTTCAGGCTCCTTAGGGAACTCTAAGGCATATGCCTGTGAGGAAGTCACACTGGAGGTATTGTCAATCTCTACCATCAGCTGATTTAGATCTCACTTAAGGAGGCCTCCATGTTTCTTCCTAGAAGTGTCATGTGCACCCCTAAAACTACCTATGTGTAAGTCATATATTAATTTGTCTCTCTCCTGAAAATATGATGGCTTAAAATTTGTCCCTGAATTTAGCTGAAGTGATCGATGACACCACTTGGGTCATTTAGGTAAGCCTCAATTTCCTGATCAATGTGGTTATGGGTGGTAGAATTTCCCCGAATTTCTTCCAAGCAGAGTTCGAGTAATTAATATTTATATCCTGCCATACCTAAACTAATCTTCAGGCCGAACGGAGAAGTCAATATAGACACTTAAGGAGAAAGTCTTCTGGCTTTCTAAGGTAGACCTGATGCTTTATAGATTTGTCCAGCTGGAATCCTGGGGAACATGGCCTCCTCCTGCTGCTGGAGTCCTGTTGACAGTAGCCTTAAGTGTATGTGACAGGGCCAGGTGGTGTAGTGGTTGAGGTGATGGACTCCCACATGGTCAACTGTAGTTTGAGTCCTGGACCTGGAGGCTTGAGAGTCACACCAGGTGCGTGAGTGCCCAAAACCCCAGGAGGAGACTGGAGAAGAAGGAATTGTGACATGGCCATCCCCCTGGGGGATGATTTCTTGCTTTCTCTCTGTCTCTCTCTGTCTTTCCAGCAAGTGCACATGCCCTTTGGCAAAAATCGCTCTCTAAAAAAAAATGTGTATGTGACAAATTGAATAGATTTGGTTCCAACCTCTGTTGATCAAATTAGTATTTGCCAACAGATGGTATACCCATGAGAAAAGTCTCCAAAATCCAAAACAGGGTAGAAATGAGGGGTGGGTATTACTGTAAGACAATCTCCGTAGGTCTCTCAGGTTTCTGCATTTTGCAAGCAAGGTACTGATTGCCTTGTTTTCTGGATTATTTTTCAAAGAAATGTGTACAGTGAACATCCAGGGAAGGTGGAAATAGGTTTCCCTCCAGAGCAGAGGACAGACATGCTTACTGATTTTGGGTTTCCTAAGCGTAGGGTTCTCCCCCCAAATGGAGTTCACTTTATCTGAGTCCATCAGCATCACCACTATGGGATTTGGGGAGGAGGGGAACTGATATAAATATGCCAGTGCTGGCCCAGCAGATGGCTTAGTGGTTATGTCGCTTGACTCTGATGTGACCAATTGCAGTTAGAGTCCTGGACCTCGTAGCTTGAAAACCATGCCAGGTGTGTGTGCATGCATGCCCAAGATCCCAGGAGGAGAATGGAGGAGAAGGAACTGTGGCATAGGGGGTGATTTCTTACTTTTACTCTCATTTTCTCTGCCTCTGTCTCTCTCTCTGGCAAGTGGACATACCCTATGGCAAAAACCTCTAAAAAAATACCAGTGCTCATGTTTGCTCTGCTCTAGCAGAGCAAACAGTCCTCTGTCTGATTCAGGAATCTCATGTCTTCTGCCAGCATACAGGAACCTGCGGTAGACTAATTTGTCAGCTTGCAAGTGGGAAAAATAACAGACCCTTCACAGTCCTTAACAATGGGGAGGTATAGAAGGGCCTCAGAAGTGTTGGTGATAAGGCCTAATCTCAGCAGTCATGGTGGGCAGGCCTGAGTTCCTTCAGATCCTTCCCTTGCAACAGAGTTGATTGTAACTTAATGTGAACCAGTCCAGCCTCTGTCCCTACTGATGACATACAGTCGTGGGACCTCATCTGGGTGATATAGTACATGCCATGACAGCTATCAGTCGTGGGACCTCATCTAGGTGATACAGTGCATGCCATGACAGCTATTCACACACAGCTCAACTTCAGGACCCCCGAGGGTCCTAGCTCATTTGTTAGGGTAGGTTCACATGGCAATGAGAGGTCATGCCCCATTGCTGTGACTCAGAAAAACAACTTACATCACTGTGTTTTCACACTAACAAGCAATGAAAAGGGGTCTTTCCTTCCTTCCTTCCTTCCTTCCTTCCTCCCCCCCTCCTTCTCTTTCTTTCTTTTTTTGGAGAGGTTTTTGCTATAGGGTGTGTGTGCTCACCAGAAAGAGAGACAGAAAGCAAGAAATCACCCCTCCCCTCAGGGGGATGGCCACTCCGCAATGCCTTCTCCTCCATTCTCCTCTCGGGATCTTGGGCACGCACACACATGCGCCTAGCATGAGTTTAAGCCACCAGGTCTGGGACTTGAACCACAGGTGACTACATGGGAGTCCAGTGACATAGCCATTACACCAACTGCTGGTCCCTTCTTTTTCTTGTTTTTCATTGCAGTGCGAACTGACTTCACCTTTCTGTGAAAAGTAGAGGTCTGGATGATACAATAATAAATATAATTATAGTCAACTTTTTTTTTGGGGGGGAGAGGTATTTTTCTTACAGGGTGCAAGCAATCGCCAGAAATACAGAGAGAGACATAGAGACAGAAAGCGAGAAATCTACCCCCAGGGGGAATGGCCACACCGCAATCCCTTCTCCTCCATTCTCCTCTCGGGATCTTGGGCACGCATGCACACGCGCCCAACGTGAGTTTAAGCCACCGGGTCCGCTACTTGAACCACGGTCAGCTACATGGGAGTCCAGCGACATAGCCATTACACCAACTATCATAGTCAACTTTTTAAAAATATTTATTTATTTATTTATTATTTAATTTGACCAGAGAGAGAGAGAGAAAGTGAAAAAGCAAGCCACCAAGTCCAGGACTTGAACCATGGTTGGCCATGTCAGAGTCCAATGCCTTAAGCAGCACACTACCTGCCAGACCCCATAGTCAACTTTTGATGTGCATTTTCTTTGGGTCAGGCATTATACCAAGAGTTATTCATTACTATCTCATTCAATCATCAGAACAATACTGTGAGTTAGGTCTTACCAACGTTTCCAACTTGCAGATGAGAAATCTAAGGATTAGAGTGGTTAAGAAATGTATCTACCCACAGAACCAGCAGGTGGCATAGTGGTTGAAGGTGCTGGATTCCTACCTGGCCAACCACGCTTTGAATCCCAGGCCTGGTGCCTTGCTTTCTCACTTTCTCTCTCTCTCTCTCTCTGTCCCTCTCTGGTCAAATTAAAAATAAATAAGTAGGGACCAGCAGTTGGTGTAATGGCTATGTCGCTGGACTCCCATGTAGTCGAGGGTTGTTCGAATCCTGGACCCAGTGGCTTAAATTCATGCCAGGCATGTGTGCATGCATGCCCAAGATTCCAAGAGAACAGAGGAGAAGGGATTATGGTGTGGCCATCCCCCATGAGAGGTGATTTCTCACTTTCTTTCTCTCCATCTCTCTCTGTCTTTCTGGCAAATGCACGTGCCCTATAGCAAAGAACCTCTCCAAAAATTAATAAATAAACAAAAAGATTTTTTAAAAAGTAAGTAAATAAATATGGGGCCAGCAGGTGACACGGTGGTTGAGGGTGCTGGACTCCCATATGGCTGACCACAGTTCGAGTCTTGGACCGGGCGGCTTGCTTTCTCACTTTCTCTCTCTCTCTCTCTGTCTCTCTCTTTCACTTTGTCCCTCTCTGGTCAAAATAAAATAAATAGACAAATAAATAAGGTTAAATAAAAAATAATTCTTTAAAATAGTAAAATTAATAAATAAGTAAATAAATAAAGTTAAAAAATAATCCTTAAAAAAAGAAAGAAAGAAAGAAAGAAAGAAAGAAAGAAAGAAAGAAAGAAAGAAAGAAAGAAAGGAAGGGAGAAAGGAAGGAAGAAATGTATTTACCTAGTTGGGACATGGCAGGCTAGAACTCCAACCTAGCAGTCAGTACACTTCTAGGAACTGAGTTCTCACCAGTAGACTTTTCCTAAGTTCAAAAGGTGAAGAAGAGCAGCAAAACAGAGGAACCCCTCTTATTTAGCAAACATGAAACATTTCTTTTTTTTTTTTTAAGGTTTTGCCATAGGGCACATGTGCTCACCAGAGAGAGAAAGAAAGAGAAAGAGAGAGGGAAAATAAGAGAGGAAAAAAAAAAACCCCCCCTTGGGGGGGAGGCCAAAGCCATAATCCCTTCTCCTCCATTCTCTTCCTGGGGTTTGGGCATGCAAGCACATGTGCCCGATGTTACTTTCTTAATTTCTTTTCTTTTTTAAAAGATTATATTTAATCACATATATCTTTACAGTGTATAACATTTCTTTTTCCAGCATGATTACCATGCATATCAGTCAAGACAAAGACATCACTATCCACATCATCATCATCAAATAGCTTTTCATTTTTTCAGATTATTATTATTTTTTATTCACATTTTAAAAATAATTAATTAATTAATTAATTAATTTTAATTTGACCAGAGAGAGACAGAGGAAAAGTGAGAAAGCAAGCCACCAGGTCTGGGACTTGAATCATGGTCAGTCACGTGGCAGTGTCCACCACGCCATCTGCTGGCCCCTATTCTCGTGTTTTTTTAAACATTCAATCACTATACATCATTTGGCTTGTAAAGAGAATTTACCTAACATGAAATGCTTCTCAGACCAGTCCAGCTGAGACTACTATACATGTTATCACCAACAGGTAATAAACAATTTCTGTGTCCCACAAATGTCATGCTTCTCTGTTTGTTCTCCTACTTTCCTTCTCTATCCTCTTTCCTTCTCTCCCCCGCCCCCATTCCACACTGTCTTCAGCATCCATAACTACTTTCACTGCCTTTATGCCCTCCCAATATTTCAATCTCCGCCAGAGTGTGGATAGTCAGTAAAAAAAATATGGAACGCTTCACGAATTTATGTGTCACCCTTGCACAGGGGCCGTGCTAATCTTCTCTGTATCGTTCCAATTTTTAGTATATGTGCTGCCAAAGCAAGCACGCCCAGTGTGATTGTCAAGCTTCTGGATCTGGGACTTCAATCGTGGTCAGCCTTGTGGGAGTCTGGCACATTTACCACCATGCCACCTGCTGGCCCCTATTTTTTATTTATTAGATTTTTATTTATTCATGAGAATGTGTGTATATGCATGCACGCAAGAGAAAGGTTTGCAGAGGTGCCCTGCATGGTCTCCTCATGCTACTATTCCCTTTTTCATGTTCTTCAGCTTGGGGGTTCAGGGCACACCCACACCTCCCAGCATGTTTCAGGTGGACCTGGGAGATCACCTGGTCAGTCATGTGACTTCCAGTATTGCAGTTCAGTGTACTACCAAGTGAGCCATCATGCTGGGCCAAGATAGGTCTGCTTCCCCTTTCAACCTCCTCTCTCAGCACACACATCTTGGTTCCCACAGTAAGTGGCACAGCAGAGGGACTCAGTAACGGCCCCTTCCAGTAAAGTGTCTTTGAAGAGAGATACTTCAGGGCAGAAAGCTCTTCTCCAGGCCTTCATAATTTCCATGCCTCATCTTTAGAACTGATGGGTCACCCCCTTCCTGTCCACCCATCCATCCCCATAGCTGGAGCCATTCCTTCCTCAGAGCCTAGAAGCCTCCCAAAGACATTTAGAACCCAGAGGGATGATACATGGAGGTGGCTCAGAGCCTGGCACACAGGCGGCCTTCTCCTCCTCCCCCCAAGCAACTGATCTCCTACCACCCAGCCCATGTGGCTAACAGGCCCAATAATTATGAGGAGGGCTGACAGGCACTGAGGACTTAGTATGTGGTAGGCATCTGCTCAGTACCTCACAAATATCAGTTCATTGATTTCCTGAACTGAGGAAGCAGAGGCACAGAGAAGTTGAATTTTCCCAATTCACACAGCAGGAACATGACGCAGTCAGGATTCTCTAATGCTAGAAAGCAGTCACTGTGTTGGGACCAGCAGTTGGCGTAATGGCTATGTCACTGGACTCCCATGCAGTCAACCGCAGTTCAAGTCCTAGACCCAGTGGCTTAAACTCACGCTAGGTGTGTGTGCATGCATGCCCAAGATCCCGAGAGGAGAAAGGAGAGGGAATTGTGGTGTGTCTATCCTCCCTGGGGGGCGATTTCTCGCTTTCTGTCTTTCTGTCTCTCTCTATCTTCTGGTGAGTGCACGTGCCCTATAGCAAAAACCTCTTAAAAAAAAAAAAAAAGAAAAAAGAAAGAAAGAAAGAAAAAAAGCAGTCACTGTGTTATCCTGCTTCTTGAGACATAACCTCCACCATTCAAGCTACTGCTGCCCTGTTCAGCCAGCCCCTGATGAGGGAGCCCTGAGTTCAAATTCTGACTCTGCCAACGACCAGCTTCAATACCTTCTATGAGCCAGGCCCTGCTCTAGGATCTGGAGGCAAGGTTGTGCTTTCCTGGAAGTAAGGCGAGATGGATAAAAAGCAAGTAAACAAACCCATAAAGAAGAATGTTTCAGGCTTCGACAAGTACTAGGGAGGCAACACACAGTTGATGCGATCCAGGGGGCTGGGGGTATCTAACCGTCTAGAGAAAGACATCCACATGAACCCAACACGAAGGGTCATTAGAAGCCGGTGGAAGAGCATCCCCACGGAGAACAAGCTCAGCCTGAGGCACAGAGGACCGTGCAGGCTCAGGTGAGCACACTGGCCACTGGAGGTTGTTGGAATTGTTTTGTTTGTTTGTTTGTTTGAGAGGTTTTTGCTATAGGGTGCGTGTGCTCGCCAGACAGAGAGAGACAGAAAGACAGAAAGCAAGAAATCACCCTCCAGGGGGGATGGCCACGCTGCAGTCCCTTCTCCTCCATTCTCCTCTTGGGATCTTGGGCACGCACTCACACGCGCCCGGCATGAGTTTTAAGCCACTGGGTCCGGGACACAAACCGCGGTCGACTACGTGGGAGTTCAGTGACATAGCCATTATGCTAACTGCTGGTCCCTTTATTTGTTTGTTTTCAATGCCAGAGAGCCTGAGAGAGAAGGAGAGAATGCACACTCCAACGGGGGCCCTGGTCATACCATACCCCATTTTCCTCCATTTCTTCATCTTGGCAGGGTTCTGGGTTCATGTTTTAGTCTGTTCTTGCATTGCTAACAGAAATACCTGAAGCTGGATGATTTACAAAGGAAACAGAAGTTCATTTATAAAACCTATTATTCCGGTAGCTGGAAGGCCAAAGACATAGGCCTACAACGTGGCCACTGGAAGCACGGAAGTTGGCAGCATGCAGAGGGAGGCTGTGGGTAGTCTCTTTTATGACAATCAGTGCTCTTTAGAACAAACCACCTCTCAGGAGAGCTGGAACTCACTGGATCTCACAAGACATCAGTAACCTGTTCACAATAGTGTTGCCTCCACGATGCAATTACATGATCCAGTCACTGACCACTAGGCATTACCACCTCCCAACATCAAATTCCAAACCATGAAACTCTGGGACATAAGCCACCATCCAAACCATAATAGCACTGGTTATGTTACCACTGGGGTGGGCTCAAACTATGGGATCCAGCCTCCTCCGCATAGCCCTTAGCCACTGTGTTATCCTCCAATGTATTATGGGGATGGCCTGAAATTGGGCTTATTATTATTTTTTAAAGAATTATTTTTTGTTTAATTTTATTCATTGTCATTATTTTATTTATTTATTTATCTACTTGAAGTTGACCAGAGAGAGAAAGAAGGAAAGTGAGAAAGTAAGCTGCCAGGTCCGGGACTTGAACCGTGGTCAGCCATGTGGGAGTCCAGCTGCTTTAACCACCGCACTACCTGCTCATCCTGGGCTTTATTTATTTTTTTAAAGAGATTTTTGCCTTAGGGCATGTGCACTCATGGGCAAGAGATAGAGACAGAGATAGTGAGAGGGAAAGTAAGAAATCACCCCTTAGGGGCAATGAACACAACACAATCCCTTCTTCATTCTCGTTCTGGGATCTTGAGCATGCACACACACATACCCAGCATGAGTTCAAGCCATCAGGTCTGAGACTCGAACCATGGTCAGCTATGTGAGAGTCCAGCAACATAACTGCTATGCTATCTCTGGGCCCCTGGAATTGAAGTTTTGTTTTCTTTTTTAAAGAGAGAGATTTACTATAGGGCACGTGTGCTTGCCGGAGAGACAGAGAGAGGCAGAAAGTGAGAAATAACTCCCTGGGGGGGATGATCATGTCACAATTCCTTCTCCTTCATTCTCCTCTTGGGATTTTGGGTATGCATGTACATGTTCCTGGCGTGAATTTCAAAGCCCCGGGTCTGGGACTCAAACCACAGTCGGCCATGTGGGAATCCAGTGATGTAACCATTATGCCATCTACTGGTTCTGGGTTTTAAAAGGTGACTTTGGGGGCCAGCCAGTGGCATGGTGGTTAAGGTGACTTGATCCCACATGACTGACAGCTGTTCAAGTCCCAGACTCAACAGCTTGAAAAACACTGGCAGGGCCAGCAGGTGACATGGCAATTAAGGCTCTGGACACACCCATATGGCCAATCATGGTTCAAGTCCTGGACCTGGTAGCTTGCTTTCTCACTTTCCCTCTCTTTCTCTGGTCAAATTAAAATAAATTAATGGATAAATAAAATTAAATAATTCTTTAAAAACAATACCACACTGGGCATGTGTGTGTGTGTGTGTGTGTGTTGCCCAAAATCCAAAATCCTGAGAGGAGACTGGAGGTGTGTGCCCAAAATCCTGAGAGGAGACTGGAGATTGGCCATCCTCCCTAGGGGGTGATTTCTCACCTCCCCCCACCTCTCTCTCTTCCCAGAGAGCACACACACTCCAAAAAAGTGACTGGGTGCCAAGATGGTGGTGCAGAAGTAAAACCTCGATGCTCTGTGAGGCTGACTCAGATGGGCAGGTTCTTGGTTTGTATCTAGAGACCTCCCTGAGTACACTGGGCAAGCACACGCCCATGATCTCGGGTTGGTTAAGGCTGGGGGTGGATCGGAGCATGAGGATCCCATTGGGGTGTTATCTCAATGCTCTCTGTTTGGTTCTCTCACTCACGGAAGAAATAAATACATAAACTGTAACCAAGAGATTATGTAGCAGTTCCATCGCTGGACTCCCACATGGCCAATCGCAGTTCAAGTCCCAGACTCGGTGACTTCAAACTCATGCCAGACGTGTGTGTGGCCAAGATTCTGAGAGGGGAATGGAGGAAAAAGGATTGTGGCATGGCCGACCCCCCCTAGAGAGTGATTTCTTGCTTTCTGTCTCTCTGGTGAGTACACATGCCCTATACCAAAAATCTTTCTAAAAAAAAGTAAATGAATAAACTTAAAAAAAAAAAAAAGGAAAAGGAAAAGAAAAGGCAGCCTTGATACCAGGTGTGTGGGAGGACCAGAAAAGTCAGAGTATTAGTGGAAAGACCTATTAGCAGCAGGCATGGCCTGCAGTCACCTTGAAGAGCATGGTCTCCTTTGACTTACGGGAAATGTGCATCTTGGAGGCATAAAAGCCCAGAGTCTAGGAAGATAAAGTGCCATGTGTGGCAATGAGGTGGGCAGGCCAAGGGTGCCTCATGTCTTGGACTGGCTCAGTTTGCCCTGCAGCCCACTCTGCATCTCTGACCTCCCTGCTACACCCCAAGAGGCTAACCTCCCCATACCTCCCAGGCTGCTCTGTCTATGGGCTTCCTTTTGGGCTCAGCCCATAGAGACCTGAGGGCAGAAGCCTGGGGTAAATGTCCCCCCAGCTCCTCCCTGTAGGCTACCAGGTCCCTCCAACTCCAGGGCTCTCCCAAGCATGCTCTTGGGGTACTGGCTCCCTCTCTTAGTCCCTTTGGGGTGTTAAGGGCTTCCCCTTGTTGCTAGCCTGGAGTGGTTTCCTGAGCCCTCCATAGACAGTTCCTCCATTCTCCCTCCCCGCCCCATTCACCCACTTGGGGAGGAGCGCTGTTCTCTGCTGAGACCCTGAGAACGTGAGGAGTTTGATGGTACAGTAGGCAGCATTTGTCACACTAAGCGCTTGCACTGCTCCCTGTTACTGAGTCCCTCACAGTTCTCATGAAGGGCTGTCATCCCTGTCCTACTCTGCAGACACTGTTGGTCACACCCTCTTCCCTAAACACTCAGTTCTCTGTACTCTTTCTGCATCGTCTCCTGGTGTTCCCCCTCTGTTCCCTCTGGCTGCTCCTTCTGGGCCTTTCTGCTGACTCCATCTCCTCTCCCTGGGGATGGTAACCTCCCTGCCTCATGCTGGGCTCTCTTCTCTCGGGATGGCCCATCTTTTCCCAGCCATAAGGCCCACTGTAGGCTGAGGATCTGAGCCCATGACAGCAGATCAGAAGTTCTGTCTTCAGGTGTCTCCACTGGGATGACTCATGAGCATCTCAAACTCAGCTGTACACCCTCCCCCAGCTTTCCCTCTCCTCTTCCTCACCGGCCGGGAGCTCAGGCCAGAAACCTTGGAATCATTCATGCTACCTGCCTCTCCAGTAACCTCCCCTTCACTCTGGGTCCAAGTGATATCAGCTCTCCTGGCACGAGGACAGCCTGAACCGCCCCCTGCCCTAACACAGTACTATCACAATGAAACAAAACCCAAACTCCTCACCCTGGCCAGCTACTCTTCACTCTCC